CCCGCCGCTCGGGCGGTGAGGGGTTCCGCCGTCCCCTGCCTCTCCCGGCCTGCGGCGCCCACGGCGCGCCCCTGCCTGCCCGCCCGGCCCTGCTCCTTGGGCAGGGCAGGCGGGGGGTTCTCGCCGCAGCACGGTGTGACCCTCCCTCGCCCCTTCTGAACGCTGGAGATCCGCTCGGACGGACAATTCCTCGTTATTATCGAGGGTCCGTTCGCGGCCAGAGAGCACCAGCTCCCCGGCGCCAGCGCCCAGCGCTGGGCAGCGCGTTTGCGGGGCGCTGCCGGGGCGGGGGCCGAGGGAGCCCCGCCGCCCCAGCGGAGCACCCCGTCCCCGGAGCAGCCTTCCCTGACCGGCTTCTTGTGAGCCCTGGGGCTTAACCCCAGGAACCGCGAAGACAGCACATGCACAGCCTCTTCCTTCTGCATATCAGTAATGACTTTCCTCTCCCCCCCGCCCCTTGCTCTAAAACAACAAAACATAGACTTACCTGAAGTGGTTTTTATTTTCACAACAAGGGATATTCCCCGCGTTACACACATACACACAACGCATGCACACGCACACGCACACAAACACACATATTAACCAATAGAAAAGCAAGATGTGAGGGTTTGATGCTCTGCTGTGACATGAATAATTGTTGCATCGTGTAACTTCCTACATCTTGGTTTTAATTTGCAGTGAACCAAACAAAGATATTTGCAATTTTTAAATAAGCACTCTATGTAATAAATGGGAACATTGTGCATGAATGCTGTTTCTTCCCCTTTTCTTTAGAAGACATTATTAGCTCTGACAGCATGCAGCTCAGGTTTGGAGGAGAGGATTTTGTAAAGGGATGACAGACAGGAAGGGCAGCAATCATGGGCTTCTTGGGCTAAAGCTTTTTTTCTTTTTTATCAGAATGTTCTGTTCGATGCCATTTATCCTTGATGATAGAAAATTGCTCTGTTGCCAGGACGCTGCTGCTGAAATAGAGGGCAGGAGCCACATTTCCATTTTGCAGCTTGAAAGCTATTCAAATGAATTTGCAGAAAGGGGGAAAAATCTAGAGATAAACAAATGAGAATAAATCGAGTTCCCCTTTCCTCTCCTTTCTTTCTCCCTCTCTTTTTCTTCCTTTCTCTTTTTTTTGGAGGGTGTGTGTATATGCGAGGGAACTATTCATTTTCTACAGAAGGATTTTGGTTCGTCAGTGTTTGCACTACCCGCGCAGTGCTCTAAATCAGGGAACGCTTATTTTGCTGTTGTTCCAGCCACTGAACATACAAACATATTAGAGAAAATTTACGTGTGTGTTTGCAGATACGCAGCCACCTACGATGTCCTTACGCCTGTGTGTGCGGGTGTGTGTACAGGCAGCGCCGGGTGTTCCCGTGTGCGGGGCGGAGAGGGTGCCACCGGCACCGCACCGTCCCCTTTCGGCGGGTCAGACCTCTCCCAGCATTTACGTGCTGGTTCTGGTGAAACACCTCGCCGTTTCAGAACGATTAAAATCTGAAAGGCTTGAGCGGCAGCACTGTCCTCCCGTCGTAACTAATGGAGTGGGAAATCTTCATTTTCCCTCCCCGTCCATTTAGATATTTCCGGAGTCCCAAGGAGAAGTAATAACGCGTCTGGCTATAATCCAGCACGTAGCCCAAGGGCTAATTTTTAATCATTATTTTTAAATTAAGCGTTGAATAAAATAAAGCCAGAAACATTATTTATAAATCGGAACGAATATAATGACAAGTAATTATGCTCTTCCTTCGCTGGCGATTCAAGGCTCGGCTCAGCTCCCCAGTTCGAATCCAAATAAATGAAACGTGCGAAGCCTGTTAAACACTTCCATTTCATTGACTTGTTCCGTCTGCGGGCTGCTGCTCCGCCAGGCTGGAAATGTTGGGCATACCCCGACCGGGGCTGTAACAGCTCTCAGAGGTCCGAGAGCCCGGTTACCGCAAAACAGCTTTGAGTGAATTCTGACTTCACTTCTCTGAGCAAAAGCTGGTGCCAGGGAGTCGTGGGGTTTAGGAGATTATGCGGCGTCCTCTTAAACACAGGATTTTAAGCGACCATAATATATCTGATGACATTCTAAATTTGATCAGCTTGGATTTTTTTCGCTATGTCGTTTCAACCGAGTTTTATCTCTTATGATTTTATAATTAGCACGTTGGCTTCAAGCATGATGTATTTCAAAGTGGCACCTTGTTAGATGTGATTCCCTTCTGCAAGGAGGAAAATTCTGGAGGCGGAACAGAAACAAGCAGGACAGAGAAAGAAAAAGGAGGATTGATTTATTGGCCTTGGCCAACAGCTTTTCCATAAGTGCCCAAGCAGTCAGGCATGCGACTTTACTATTGATTTTTAAATCTCCCCTCAGCCGAAAAGATCAGCGCGCAAATAATAATAAAGTGTAACCGCTGCTGCTATCAGATTAGGCTAACCGCGGGCACCCGAGGGTCCGGCCGCGCCCGGCTCTCCCGCCCGCCGCGGGGAGCGGCCCCCCCG